TAAGACAGAAAGCAAAACTAAAGCAGTTGTTGGAACCAAGAGTAAATATTAGACTAAAGAAAAGCACTTACGCACAGAGACAATGACATTTGATTTCTTATGGTACATATTCCATTGAAAAAATAATTGGGAGCAAGTCTAAATGAGCATGTCCCTAAGATCTCCTCACACTATATTGGAGAATGACAAGGTCATCAATATAGTTAGAAATTTGATGACATCTTTAAGTTTCATCAGATAAAAGAGATACAATATCAAATTATTTAAATTTGAAGAGCAAAGTTAACAATACTGACTTAGGGAGCACATGTAGAACTTTATACCAAACAGCCAGATAACAGAAAATAATTAATTATTTTCAACACCCATCATTTATACATATATAGATATATATGATGTAACATATATATCTTATAAAGAGCCAAGAAGAAGCATGTCATCATAAACTTTAGGGAACTGATACCATTCAAATATTAGTTGTCACAGACTATATTAGAGGTTAAATAAAGATGAATGTTTTGAGTGTTTTCTACATATGGAAACATGTAAATATTTAGGAATTAAAAAGACTTAATTTAAAAAAAATCAAAAAAATGTAATAATCCAGTTATTACCTTTCAAAATTAGTGACGCACACCTAAAGAAAAAGAGAGTATAATTGTAAATGCTATTGAAGAAAACTAGAAAATGAATGAGCTAATACTGATTAGTTAACACAAAAAGTGAATAAAAGTAAATACAAAACAAACCTAGAGAACACATTGATCACTGAGCAGGTGGAGACAGCATACGGCTTCCAAAAGTCATTTGAAGTGTATAGTTCATAAAGCAGCAGACGTCTGCATTCCAATCTTTTCTATGTCTACACTTTCAAACAAGTAACAACACCAAGTATTAAAAAGCAAATAACAGAGATAGAATACAGGCTACACATCTGACCAAGAAGTACAATTTTTATTCTAACAGATTATGTTTATAGGAGAAGACTTAAAAACAAATTTCGGACATAAACGTACAGGTCACCTAAAAATAATTCAAATTAAGTGATAAAGATAAGAACACACTTCCAAAATACATAAAAAAGGACCAGAAAGAAAATGGTTGGCAGCCAGGAGTGCCAAAGCACTTGTAATGCCTGTCCACAAAAACATAAAAGGATAAAGGTCACCATGAGTATGAGGTCAGCCTAGCTACATGACCAGCTAGGGCGACATAGCAAGATTGAACCTTTGCACTACTTTATCCTACAATGACAATAGCAAAAATATAAACATGTAATAATGTCAAGTGATTGTAGATAGGAAGAATTTGAAACACAATATTCATGTTGATTTTTTTTTTATAGGACAGGAGCAATATAACTTTTCTCTCTTCTCCAATTTCTTTTTTTTTCTTTTTTTCTTCTTTTCATATTTTAATTGGGAATATAACATTTGAAGGTTGATACAGCATTGAAAGTTTATGACCAGACAAATAAACAGGTGTTACTTTATGTACAAATGTATACAAGGTATAATTCTTGGAGGGGTGAGATGGGGCCCAAACTAACAATGTTGCATAGTTTCCAAATTTCTACTAGAGAAAGTGAACTAGACGTTTTATTTGAATATACAAAGTAATCATAAATATCAAGTATTATTTTATGTCTGGATATAGCTTATAAACCTTTTTACACCAAAAAGTTCTGGGTTGGTACCTTTGAGTGTTTATCTTCATTTTATTTTATATCGGCTATATTTGTCAAACTCATATTCTAAGTCCTAGCTTTACTTGTCAACTTGACACAATCTAGAGTCCTCTAAGCGGAAAACCTCTGCTGAAGAATTGCCTAGATTAGACTGACCTGTGGGCATGCCTGGTGGGAAGAATTGTCTCTAGTGTTAGTTGATGTGGGAGAGGCCAGCACACAAAGTAGTTTGGTGAATATCTATACCAAGGTGGTGGAGAAATTCATAGTTTATACTATTCTGGTATTTACATTGGAAGCAACATCTCATCAAGGTTGTCAATTTCCATAGAAACTGTAATTTAAAACAACAACAACAACAAAAAAAAACAAATTGAAGGCAGGATATAATGCCTTGTTAAAATGATCTCTGTCTCACCCATCAGAGTTATCCAATTTTGAATTCGCTAGAGAGCTTGGCCTCTTGATCACCCCAACAAAAATTGGCTTTTTCCTAAACCAAGGCCACCCTTGATATGGCCGCTAACATTGGGGAGCCTTCCTTTATGACAATATTACACCCCAAACTGACAAATGGTTGGTAACTTGAACATTTACAAGGAACTAGGATGGCTGTGAGTTAGCCCAACGACGGGATTATTGTAGGTCCACTTCCCAGGGGCCCACCCAATGCAGCCGAAAAGGAGTGCATGGTGCTGGGAGTGGGTGCAGCCTACATGGCCTAAGACAGGGCTCTCACCCTCCTTTCACCCACATCGGAGTCCCTTGACGTTGCCCATCGTCGACAGCCTAAAACCTTCGACCATCGATGTGACTCGTCTCACATCAGTGTTTTGGGGTTGTGAACTTGTCTAAGACCCCCCATAATTAGACATCCAAATTCAAAATTCACATAGTTGGGATTGATCATAAGATGCCTTCTCTAACTAAACAGAGAAGGGGGAGATGCCAGAAACCAGGACCATCGCCCTTACCCTCACCCCCTACCTTTCCCCACCTGCACAATGTCCTCTGAAGCTTGGCAACTGCAAGATCCTGCTTAGCAACTGCAGATAGACTCAAAGCAGTGTACCATATCATCTTAAGAATAGCAGGGAGACCATAACTCAAGCAGTGTACCATATCTTCTGAAGAACAGCAGGTAGATCATAATTCAAGGCAGTGTACCGTATAGACCATGACATGTTTCAAGGCACAGGCCAAGAAGATTTTGTACTTTTCCACCATCTGGCCCCTCTTACCCCCTCCCCTTGTGAAACATGCTATAAAAAAAGCATTTCATGTTCAAAAATAAATAAATTATTAAAAAAAAAAAGATTTATTCATGCAATTCTCACATGGCATTTTGACTGGAGGTAAAGCACTGCATTGTATATTCCAAAATTGCCACAAGAGTAAATTATAAATGCTTACACTACAAAATAAAGATAATCCTTCAGTCTACAGATATGTCAGTAAGTTGTATTTGATCATCTCATAACATATACTTGTATCAAGATATTATGTGAAACCCCATATACAGAATATTTGTCAAGTGACGTAAATAAAAATGTTGCAATATTGACGCTTTAATTAAAAGGTTAGTTATATCTCAAATTCACAAGACTAGCATCCTAAAATCCTAGTAATTCCTAAGTTTGTTTTATAATTGTAGCATGACTATGTTTCATTGATCTATGATTTTATTTCCTAGATCTCTTGCTTTGCTTTCATTATTGAAAATCAAATATTAAGAAAAATGTATCACCTGGATGCAATAGATACTTGCAATTCTAGTACTTGAGAGACTCAGGAACGAGGAGTGCCATGACTTTGAGGGCAGTTTAGACTATAGGGGTCTCAAGAAAATAAAATATAAAAGCAAAGATGAAAGACCTCATGTCTTAGTTAGGATTACCATTGCTGTGACAAAATATCATGATCTAAAACAACTTGAAGGAGAAAGGGTTTATTTCAGTTTATAATTCTACATCATAGACCATCACTGAGGAAAATCAGGACAGGAACTCAAACACATCAGGGAGCTGTAGGCAGGAGCTGATGCCAAGGCCATGGAGATGTGCTGCTTACTAGCTTGTCATGCCTTACTCTGCCCTCTTATGGAACCCAGGGAAATCCATTGAGAGGAGGCACTGTCCCCAGTGATCTGGGCCCTCCTATATTATTCAAAAATCTAGAACATGGATTGAAGGCTCAACCAGAGACCAGCTAGTGGGGGCATTTTCACAATGGAAGGTCCTTCTTCCAAAATTACTCTAGCCTGTGTCAAGTTGGAAAAAAATTATCCAGTATCTCATGGCATGTTCCTTCTGAGATATATCAACTTCATTAAACTTATTCATTGCCATGATACCATTATTGCATCAAAATTTTAATAATTTGTTTTAGCATCGCATGGCCAGTCAGTGTTCAGATTTCCTTGAATGCCACAGGAAGGTTTGAGTAAGTTGATAAAATGAGTCCACAGTCCACAAACCTCATTAAGTTAATAACTTGAAAATCTCTCTCCCCTTCATTTTATTTTTATATTTATTGAAGTTTTTGTTGTTGAAGGACCTGTATCCTTAAGTTGTATACACTTTTGTCTGTTAGTGTTTTTTGTGTTTTTTTTGTTTTTGTTTTTGTTTTTTTCAGATTTTATTCCCCATACAATGAATGCACTGTGCTGCTCCAAGTCCTGGAACAAAATGGAAGAATATTTGGACATTGAAGGACTTGAATTACCCAGGTGTTTCTAATGTGCAATTTTGAAATCACACATTTGTCCCTGTAGACATCAGCTTTGATGTTATGAGAGATTTTTCTGGGTGTTCAACAAACTTCTGGTTCTGAGCTTGGAACTTAATGTGAGGCTTGAAAAAGTCCTATGGCCACTGCTTCATCCCAAATACTTCCTGTAGTTCTAGGGACTTGATTAAATTATGTTTTACTGATTATTACTCTTCTTTGTACATAACAACTTAATTAAAAATTATATCAAGATAAAAATGTATGCATTTCGGCAAGTTTTATTACATACAAGTATTAATTCTCTAAAATTTCAATTTAACTTTTGGCTTTGTAAAGTCAGAACCTCTCAACAGATGAGCTTTGTATCTTTGTATTTGAAACTGCATCGATTCTTTGGATAGAAACTATGTCCCCTGTGAATACAAAGTATTGGAAGGATCTTAGATAACCTCAGACCTAAGGCTCAGTGTCCTCTCCTCATCAAACCTGGGAAGTAAACACATATTCTTCCTTTGTTTAGTTTTCTATGTCTTATTTTTACTTTGAAAATTTTATACATGTATATGATGCAATATGATTATATTCAGTCCCCATCTGCCTCACTAAGGAGGAGATCTTTAAGTGTACAGTTTTCCAAGTTGTTTCCAGGGTTTCTGGAGACTCGATCCAAAATCAGAATCACAATGAACAGACTTACTATGAGGAAACAAGCACCAAGCATCACTGCCTTCATCTTTACATCGAGGTCTAAAGGGAACTGGATCCCAAAACTGTCTACATCTGTCAGTATTTCCTTCAGAAAACCAGACCAGTGCTTGGAAATCCTGCCAATCACGAAGTCTTCATCAAGAGATCTGATCTGAATTGGAAACAAAATCAATGAACAAGGGAAAGAGCTTAAAACGTTCTGGAAAAATAACAGTGCATATGGTTTGAGTAACAGGAGACAAATGCTCCATTCAGATTGTGCCCTCGTGTGAGTAAACATTAGAAAGGTTGCTGCATAAAATATGAATTTGGAGCACTGTATATGAAAATCTCACAGTGTTTCCCCAGTGTCCTCATGTGTTTCCTAAAAGTAAACTGTAGGCCAGCTTATGTTCTGTTACTGTTTCTGAAACTAGAAATAAATTGACACACATCTAGATGCCTTCTCATGTACTTGATCTATTTTAACACATACCTCTATATAATGTCCTTATAGTACATACAAAATACACCTACATACACATTTGCTCAGAACATTATACATACACGCCTTGTGAGATCTCTTGTATTTTCTCTGCCATACCTGTATTTTCTTAGAACTGCCCATGCCTGTGACTAGATTTGTAGATCAATGGAGGCAAGGCTTTATGTACATGTAACTGGATTCTAAGACAGGAACAAAAAGCTGCATGGTTCCCAAGGGCCACAGGCATTGGGACAGAGTAACCATGGAGACGAGAATTCATGAGAATAGAGGTAGAGTTCTGAAGGCTTATCAGGAAGGGATAGCCCTCATCAGCTTCAGAGTGGTTTTGCCCCTTCTGTGGAAATATTGGCCTAATTTTTATCACATTTTCATATCTTTGAAGAGAATCAGCAAGTCAAATGGCAAAAATTCCCTCCATTTAAAAAATTCCTCCAGGAAGTAAACATAGAAACATGTTTCCCAATGAACTAATTCAATATAAGAATAACAAGGAGATCATGGTGAAGCAATTGGATGGGAAGCACTATACCTGTTTTAACTGTTTCTTTTAGTAAAGATCCACTTATTTCTATTTCATGTACATAGGTGTTCCGTTTGCATGTTGCTCTGTGCAGCATGTGTGTGCAGTGGCTGAGGAGCACTGTACCTTTAAACTGTAAGCCAAAAGAAACACTTCTTCTTTTAATTGCTTCTTGTCAGGTATTGGTCAGAACAATGGAAAGAATAGCCGATAGAGAAATTGTGGCTATTTTTAAGATGACCATACTCTTTCCTCATTTATTAGTATAAGCACTGACCTTGCATTGGACCACAAAATATTTCTCTGACTATGTTATTTCTTTTTTAAAAATATCTGTACAGCAACTTCCATTTAATACAGTGTTAGCTTTGTGCAAAATTTGTTACATTTATAAGGAAAGAAAAATCCAATAAACATGATTGCATCTGTTACCTCAAAGTCTATACTTCCTCCAATGTTGCACATGATGCATGGACCAATAATTTTTAGAACGTCCCGTTCCTCCTCATTTTGAACTGTAAACGTTGGCCAACATGGGTGCCAGGTTTGAATAACATAACCGATTGGCACACCAGGAGGAGCTTGGACTTCTATCTACATATGAAAAAAGAACGTTGGTAAATATGCTTATCATTGTATTAGCTATTTGTGGCTTCATTTACTTAGAATGACAGTGTTCCAATCTACAACACCCTTTAATTAGATCAATGTTATTTCTTCTCTTGATTCATGGAGGTAACTATACCAAAGAAAGGTGAATTCACTTGTATCAGATTCGTCTGCTAATGCATAGAAGGGGCAAATTAAACTCTTTATAGCTTCCCTGTTTCATCAATATCTCTATAAAACCTGTCTAAATTATTAACAAACTTTTCTTTCTTAAACTTGTTCATAAACAGTAGCTTATCTCTATGGACAGAACTCTGATCACTGGTACATTTTCAACTATTAGTTCTAATATTGTATAATAAAAGGACTTTGGACACTAGACTCATGGCCCTGCTATCTATTTACTAGGCAACTCACGTGTGATCATTTCTGGCAATCAAGCTTCATGGCCATGTTTTACTGCTACTCGATTGTAGTACTTTCTTTATCCAACACACAAACATATTCTCCTCAGATATTGCTATGCCTGTAAGATTATACCTAGCCTACAGAGCATGGAAAACAAAGGAATTCTTTACAAATAAACTTACTCTCTCAAATCAGAGTAAGTACAGTATTAAGCTCTAAATATCTGTTATCGTGTTATCTCTGTTTGTGACAGGCTTTATGGAGATAACTTACTGAATGACTGGGATATGCAGGCAGACATGGTCCCAGGCAAGTGATATCCAGGCAAAGGCTACCTTCCCTATAAAGTTTCTATGTCCTGGTGCCTGCACTGAAAGACACATTTGGAGTAAATAGGCCACCAAGTAATATGAAGTAGGCAGCTGAGGGCAGTTCCATCTGAGGAATGTTTATTACAGAGAACACAACTTACTTTGTAAGGGAAATAAATATGGGCAATGTTTTTCTGCTTGCTCCTTAGTGGAGTGTTCAAATCATCAGATAAATTATGACATGAATACATATATATTCTTCTCCTAATTCTTCTGTTAATGCATTCTGTTTCTAGAACAATATTCCAAGACATCCACAGACATGTAGCTAAATTAGTGTGGGGCATCCCTGTCATGATCATTTCTGACAAGAGATTTGATCAAAAGGCTTTCCCTTGAACATTGGAAACTGTTGTTTGAGCTGTTACTTATCCATAAAGGAGAGATTACCTAAGAGCATAAACTTAGTCATTTATGTTTCTTCCTATATAGTTGAATGAAGGCCAAAATATTGCTCATGGGTCACTGTTTAAAATATCAATAACTTGGCAAAATTCTTAATAAACTATCTTGAAAACTGGATTGGTAATTATTCTCAGACCTTCTGGAGGCAGCATGGGAAGAAACAAGAACGGCATCTTAGTGGTCGTTGTAGAGTTATGACTTCATGACCTGAGTTATTAAGGATCCTCATGGAGAAAGCTCTAGCGTCCCCACAGCAACAGCGTGTTAAGAAATTAGAGTCTTCTACAGCATAGTAAACCTTATGCCCGAGCTTGTCCCTGATTTTGTATTTGTTAGCAGTTTCAATATCAAAAATGCCTTTAAAAAAAAAAGAGCTCATAATTAACAATACATTAAAATCCTTCACATATCCTAAGACAGTATAATATCTAAATACTCCAAGTTTAGATGATAGTCTAAGAAGCACAAGGAAAGGAAAAAAGAAGGTATATACCGGTAATCAAGCCCAAGGGGGCAAAAGGCAAAAGAAAAGGAGGAGAGGCTAGCAAACTAAGAAAAAATTGAGTACCTCTGGGAGACACACACACATAAAAAAAAAAAAAAAGCAACCCAAAAACAAAACAGGCGTTTTTGTTTTAATACCTCTATGACCTAATACATGAAGGGGACTGAATGGGTTGAAGACAGTAGCACTAGACATGTGGATAAATAGCCACTTGTCTAGCATGGTTTTCATGTGTTATAGAGAGACTAAAGAACGGGCTATATTTTAAAATTTATGTGAAATACTATAGTAAACCAGTTGGATTGAAATTCTGTTTAATAAGCTGTATTTTCTTTTGCACTATATTTGAACAATGCAGAGACTTACTCACATGTAAAATGGGATAGAAAGAAAATGAAAGGTGAGTCACAACATTGTACTGATCCTAGAGTACTCTGGAGGGATGGGGTGGGCCTTGGACAACAGGTGAGTATGAGATTTGCACATGACAACTCAGCCCAGATTTCAACCAACACATCACAGTGCTCTGTCATGATATCACAATATCAAGGGCATTCCAAATACATTTATCCTTACTGGTGTTCCTTTTATGCTAAAAACGGAGAGAGATGATAAATGCAGATTGTCAAATGTCATCTTTCCAAAAAAATATTGTTGGAGATTTTCACTCATTTAGAGACAGAAAGAGTCAATTCATAATAACATTTTCCCACAGAAAGACGTCCTGCAGAAGTCGTAGCACCATGGACCCATTTTTATCTTTGATGGGACTTGAGAAACCTTAGAAGCAGTCTCTTAAAAATTGGCATGGGATCAACACCCACGACAAATATTTTTGCAAAATTTTAAAAGTTACTTTGAAAATCATTTTTTAATTGAGAGAGCATCTGTAATTCAAATAGTAGTTCAATTATGTACCTTAGATTTTCTTTTAAACCTATAAAGTGAGATCAACAAGGCTTACAGAGTCTTTAGTTTCCTTCAAGTTCATTGGAAAATTAAAACTAAGAAAATGAAGGAATCTATACCATGGCTAAAGATAGTTCAGTGGTAGGATAACTGCTTAGTATCCATGAGACTGGAGATTTGAGTCCCAAGCATGCAGGAAAAAAAAATCTATAGAGTTATATCTGTAGTATCTATTTATTTTCCAGTAAGATAAAGGTAAAAATGGTTGTCCTAAACTCAGGTGCTGAAAATGAATAAAGAAATATTCATATTTTATATTATTTATAATATTAAAAATATTTCCATTTAAGAAAATAAGCAAAATTCCAAAACATTTTTTTAAAATCAAGGAATGAAGAACTAGTGGATGTGGGTTAATTTTACAGTGTATTTAGTGTGCAAATAAAATGAAACTTACATATCTAAAAATTAGAAATGGAAGGCTATGTGATATGCCAAATATGACTTTGGGATTTAAAATTCACAGTAATATGTACTGTGGAGTTGAATATGTGTAAACATTCAAAATACAAAATATTTTAAAGAGATAGGGTTTATTTCCAGGGAAAAGCTTAATTTAAGAAAACTTAATTCAAAGATATTACAGTATCTAATAATGTACATTAAAGGCAATTTAATAAAATAAGTAAAACTATATATTTTAGTAAGTCCAGAAGTGCTTTCCTGGCATCTGGGAAGAGGTAATAGAAATACCCAACAAATGGGAGAGAGAACCTGTAGAGACTGAATCCTTAGTTTAGAAATGGCTTCTGGTTGAGGGACAGGGCCACCCACCCATCTCAAAAATATTAACCCAGAATTGCTCCTTGTCTAAAGGAACTGCAAGGAAAAAGAATGGAGCAAAGACCGAAGGAAAAGCTGTCCAGAGACTGCACCACCTAGGGATCCATCTCATCTGCCGATACCAAACTCAGACACTATTGCTGATGCCAAGAAGCACTTTGCTAACAAGAGCCTGGTATGGCTGTGACCTGAGAGGCTCTGCAAGAGCCTGACCAATACAGATGTGGCTGTTCACAGCCACCATTGGACTGAGCATGAGAACCCCAATGGAGGAGTTAGGAGAAGGACTGAAGGAACTGAAGGGGTTTGCAACCCCACAGGAAGAACAACAATATCCCTAGCACTCTGAGGGACAAAACCACCACCCAAAGTGTACACAGCGACCCATGGTTCCACCTGCATATGTAGCAGAGGATGGCCTTATCTGGCATCAATGGGAGGAGAGGCCTTTGGTCCTGTGGAGGCTCCATGCCCTAGTGTAAGGGAGGGTGAGGCAGGAGTAGGTGAGTGAGATGGTAGGTTTGTGGAGGGAAATCCAGGAAGGAGGATAACATTGAAATGTAAACAAATAAAATAACCAGTAAAAAGAAAAAAAAGTCCAGAATTGCACCATACAATGTATGTTCTAATTTTTCGAATGCAAAAGAACTTTCTAAACAGATGAGTATGAATTTTAAAGATATATTCTCGACATCAGTTAAGTTTTCATCATGTTCTGGTCAAGAGCAGATGCTGTAGTTCCTAATCCTCCGATGGTCGGCCTCCTGTGGCAGTTATCATGATGCTCTGAGAGCTTCTTCAGTTCCTTTTTGTACCTGTAGACATTGGAACTAGGGTGACATCTGTAGGCACCTGGCCTATATTCTGCTCAACAACTCCAGTACAACAGGACCACTTTCTGAGTTAGGAAATGTCAATGATCCCTATAAAACCTAGATTCCATGGCAGAATTAACAGAGATTAACAGAGATTTTTACAGAGAATATCCATCCCAATTCCAAAGCACCATTCACTGTGCAACCTGAACCATTGCCTGAGGTTCTGTGCAAGTCTCACACTGGCCATAGCATGGGAGAAGCAGCTAAGAAACTTAGCAGGGTGTGGTGAAACAATCAGTGATTTTCAGATATGGACGAAGAGACAAGTTTTGGGTGCTCTCTTTCAAATTATTGCCTATAAGGAGGACATCTGGCCATCATAGTATTTACTAAGAGGTCCCTGAGTAGTAACAAATATCCAGATAAAATTACTTGTTTAAAGACTATGAGGAAAGCCACTGTAAGAGATCAAGTTTTCCATCGGCATCACCCAGAATGCTCTTTTTGTGGTGTTTAGTATGCCTTTACTTTTGTCGTCTTACTAAAAATATGATGAAAATGGCAAATACACACCTTCCACAAAGTCAAACTGCTGATGAATCAGAATATGATCTATCTGTCACAGTGAAAAGAAAATTAAGAATTTCAGATATTTCACTAAATCAAATTGGGATTCATATTTTTCATTACTCAATATCATTTATAACTAGTAACCAATGTTTATCAGTATCAAATTTTCATAATTGTTTGCTGAATAAAACTATATTTAACAGCCTTTTTTCATTTAGAAAATGTATCTACTGAATGAAGTTACTGTTGATGTGGGGAAATGAGCTTAATCTTAGATATCTATAGAGATTAGAAAGCAAAGGTCTTGCTAGATGATTTTTATGAATGTGAAAACATTTTTATCCATTTAAAGAGGCTTTTCTGTATGTCTGAGCATGATTCTTGATGTCATTGTTTGTGGTAACTGAGGACTTCTGTGCATCTTATGATTTGTGGGCTTTAGCTGTGGTAAGTTTCGTTGGATTGTTTTTGAGACAGGGCTTCTTTATATATAGCCCACGAAAGCATTATACTTATTATTTCCCTGCCTTGGCCTCTTAGAGCTGACTACAGAGGCATGGGTCATCATGCCTTGAATGACCTTGACTTAAAAAATGCTTCAAGATACTTTTCAGAAACACAAACAAGTATGTATTCATAAGAGAATTCACTGAACTCCAAATGATCTTTTGGGAAAATACCAAAGTACAGAGTCTTGCATAATCCTATCTGATTTATGAAATAAAACAAATATCAACTGACAGTGCTATGTTAAACTACATACACTACAACAAAACCCAGAATTTTTTCTCTTACTATTGGCATCCAAAGCATTGTACTTGTCTAATAATAAAATCTGTATGAATAAAACTAATTTTTACTAATTACAAGTAAATAGTAGATCATGCTACACACAATATATAAATTGATTTTTTCAGTACAACTTACTGAATCTGATGTCTAAGATTAACTAAATGTTTATTTAACGTACCAATTCATATATTCATATATTCAGCATTGTGATTAAGGTGCACAGGATGCAGAATCAAGCTATGAGGTTTAAGACATGCCATAAATCTTAGGCTCTTGTCTCTAAGGTAACTTTTATAGACCTTAGTTTTCTGTTGTGTAAATGGTTATAATTATAGTACTTACACATCATGAAGGTTCTGTAAAGAATAGCTAACCCTTATAGCACCTATTGTGTATAAGCATCCTCTCTTTCTCCCCATCCATGTCAGATTTTGTTGTCAATTGTCTTCTTTAAATTGACTCAGGGTGTAGTAGAATATCAAAGAATAATATCTAAGGATAATGAGCACTTTTTAAGGGGTGTTTACATGTATTTCTTCCCTTTGATAACTCTGTTCAATTCTATAGCCTCACTTTTTATTGGGTACTTATTTTCTTGGGGTTTAGGTTTTTTGAGTTCTTTCTACGCTCCACATACTAATCATCTGTCAGATGTATAGGTAGCAAAGATTTTCTTCTTTTCCCTTCTTTGCCTCTTCTCTCATTTAACAGTTGGTTTGGATTAAGAAGATTTAGTTTCATGAGAGACCATTGATTGATTGGCAGTCTTACTTTCTGTGCTACTGGAAATTTATTTTGACAGTCCTCACGATGTCCACATGTGGAAGGGTTCTCATTTCTCTCTAGCACTTGTATAATATCAGGTCTTATGGTCCCTGATTCACACTCTGAGCAGAAATGTCACTTAATGCAGGCACACTGAAAATCATTCTGGAAGTTTTGCAAAAGACTGATCATAAAACTTCCATAAGTCCCAGCTATGTCACTTATGGATATATACTCAAAGGATTCTCCATATCTTACTGCAGAGATGTCTGCCTACATATGGTCATTAATGCTCTATTCAAAATAACTAAGAAATGGGATCAGTCTAGATATCTATCAACTCATGGCTGGACAATGAAAATGCAGAACATAAACACAGTGGAATTTTATCCATCTGTAAAGAAAATTGAAACAATAAAATTTGAAGGTGCATTGATGGAACTGGAAAATATAGCGAGTGTAGAAAGCTCCAACTTGGAAAATCAAACACCATATGTTCTCTGCCATATGCAGATAGATTTGAAACTTTAGATGTGTTTATTTAAACTGTAATGTCTGTAGAAATCTCAAAGGAAGAAGAGGTATGGAAGGGCTGTGGGTGGTGAAAAGCTCTTACAGAAACTGAGAAAATAATACACATGGAGTATGAAAACTGAGGGAGTTCTGAGAGTTATAAGTTTTAAACAGATAGTAAGTGATTGGGGAGAGCAGGAGATATGGACAGAAGGTAAATAAAAACTAAGGTTATATGAAGAATGCATATTAAAACTTAAATGTCAGAATGAATGTGCCATGCATGAGTAGATAATGCTTATTACAGAAGCCATGTGCTATCAGATTAAAATCCAAATGACAAATGTGGAACATCTCCACAGGAATTATTGACTAAGAGTGTTCCAGAGGCTACCTAAACTATACTAGTATTGGTCATTGCCATCGGCCGCCCACCAAAAGTAGATGATAAGCCTCTTGCTGAAACCCCTACATACTGTGGTTGCAGAACTCAAGAAAATCATACTTCAACTGAGCTGGAACACCCATATCTCCCACTCCAAGGCTCAGGAAACATTACAGAAGATGGGGCAGAAAGAATGGGCCAGAAGATGAGGACTATAAAATTCTGTCTTACAGGTATGAACTCATAGCAGCTGTGTTTCCCTGCTTAAGGTCTACACAAGCCTGAGCTTGTAAACATTTAGTCACAAATAATAAAGAGGCTTACAATGCTCAGCACCCACACCCAGGACTATTATTGGTTTTAGGCTGATGGGTCAAGGAAGTCAATGTCTTTAGTGATTTAGCCACTAGTAACTTACCTACACATTCAAAGACAGGAAAATGGGATGCGGCCTTGGATGGTGGGAAATACTTATGGGGGTAGGAGTAGGTCAAGAGAAGGAAGGTAGATTAATAATGTGACCAGAATTTTTGTAGACATGCATGGACTTGTCAAATAACAAATTAATGAAGAATATATTATATATTGTGCCTATAACAAATCCTAGAAACTTGTGCTTAAATATATACCAGTATTTGACCATTGTTATGAATCATTTCCAAGGTAATAGAAAATAGAATGTCCCAAGATATTCAAACTTTACTTTGGAAATAAAACAAAAGCATACAAATCAGTGTGATTAATTTTAGAATACATAGCCATGTTTTGTGGATCAAGTTATAATCTCAACACTTGGGATACTGCAGTAAATATATTCTGAGGAATTCGAGGCTAGCCTGTGGCACCTAAAGTAAAGCCTTTATAAAAAACAAAAGTTTACTGTCTGCCTCTAACTTGTATGAGTGAACTGTGATTACCTACCCATAAGTAAAGTGGAAGCATAGTCTTGTTTATGAACTTTGTATTCGTTTGAACTTACCTCAAGTAAATATTCCAATCCAGGTGGCACTCCATAGGAGGTGGTGTTGATATTCATGAGGATCACACAGTAGGTCCACCTGACTGGTTAGATTGTAGTTGACTTTGGATAATGGAAAAAGGCTGGGCCTGCACCTGCATAGATGTGTGGAGGGACTGAGCATCCATGCCTGAGGTCCTGAGGAAGCAGAATGTCCAGAAGTTTCAAAAACAGAAGTAAGCCAAATAGTTTATTACTGCACAGAACAATTGAATGACCACTGTTTTGGAATTTATCTATGAAAGTTGACATTTCAATTCTTGCATCTATGAACTTTGGCAATATTCCCCAAATTGAAGCATTCCCATCTGGAGGGAAAGGGAAACTCATAAGTCTCCAGAAGTAAACAAACTCCACTTATCAAAGAAAGCTGAACTATACAAGATTTACAAGTGCTCTTCTGAAGATTATAGGAGCGAGTATCAACTGCTGTGGAGAGGAGACGTTCCTGCCAGTTGAGCTGTCTTTGAGTTGTGCCGAGAGCTGTAGGAATGAACTTTTTGTGAGTTACAAACCAACCAGGACCAATGAGGTTTTTTATGTTACAGCTGCCTAAGAGACGTCACGCTCCTTTATGTTACCTTTTGCCCACTGTCCTGTAAAAATCCTCAAATTGGACTTTGGTAGAGTTGTTAGTTTGATATTTTAATGGTGCCCTGTCTTGAGATACCTGGCATGTCTCCCTGGAAAAAGTTAACCCAAAACCCTTACCATTCACACTTAACATGTGTAACATGTGAAACAAAATCAAGGATGACTCAAATTATTTATATGACAGCTTTGGCATGAATTCATGGAAAATAATGTTAATGAGAAAACCAAAGCAAAGTATATGACCTACTATTTCTAGGACCAAAGCATCTTGCCAAAAAGAATAACTTGGAGTCCTGAACAATAACTTGTCCTATATGTATAGAAAAGATTATTGTCTTCCACTATATGGATATTTGTCAAGGTCTGGAGTCATTTGTCTATTTTCTACAACTTATGAGATAGGTGGCACTGGATTATGGTGGGGAGAAGCCAGGAATGCCACCACAATCCCAAGTGCCCAGAATGCAAATATATATATATATATATATATATATATATATATATATATGCTAATATGTATGGCTGCAATAAAGCTTCACAATCTTAATTTTATAGTTCATAGAAGAACAGTTTCTAGGCTCGATAATATAACAGCACTGATATTTACAGGGAACCTAATAATCAGAATAGGTAGTGAGTGTAAGTAGAACCCAGATGAAGTAAATCCACCTATCATTAAAAGTAGGGCTTAGAAAACAGAATATACGCAAATGCCTCATAAGCACAGGTTTTATAGTCAATCCTTGTAAGTAAATGAATATTTATAGATGATCTATAAAGCGATTGTATCTGCTGAATAGTGAAGAGAAACAATCATGAAGAAGATAATTTGTGTTTAAGCACCTTACAGTTAACTTCCAGGAAAAAGAGAATGCTTCTAAAATAAAGTTCTCAGACACAAGGCACCTATTTTTGATAGATATGGCTTAAATGAGGATTGAAATGCCAGGAAGAGAGGAGCTTTGTGAGATGCTGTAGGAAGAAATGGTGGAGAAGGAACAGTAACAAAAATGAAGCTCCTGGTTTGGGAGGTGAATTTGGCATATCTACCAAGAGACATGTTCAAAGAAGAATAGGAAACTCTGTCCATAATACAACAGGATACAGTTTATCTCCAGAAGCCCTATGTAAGGAGTTCTCACTTTAAGTTTGCTTGGCAGGCAAAGCCTGGACTTGGAGAGCAGGTTGAGTTCATGACACCATTTAATATTAGTGATGTTGAGCATTCAAATTCCCAATATGAAAAAAAATCAAATGATACCCTTTAAAATGTGTAACATATATACACAAGAAGGAACAAGCAAACACTAGATTTGATACTACAGGGAGGAAAAGAAAACAGAACAAAGAAAAACACTGTACTAAACTACAGCTGAGAAGGTTCTGGAGAGAATCTAACATCAGAGATAGAACTGCATGGTCAGTCTGGACTCATCTTCTTCCATCTAGTCTAGCCTTGGGTCTTGATCATCATGCACATGATGTTTACCAGAAGACTTTGGAAGCTTTTGGCTAGCACGTGATACTAACAGATTTTTCTAAAAAAAAAAAAAAAAAAAAAAAAAAACCATTAGGAAGTAGATTCAATGGGGCAGAAATTAAAGAAGGAACATCATGAACCTAAGACCCAAACTGGTAGCCAAGCCAAAAACTAACTACAGTGTTCACTATCCACACATCTAAAGAAAGCTGTTTGGCCCAGTTGTCAGTATTGATATTTGTGAAAATTCTGCAATTTTGGTTTCTTAAAAAAAAAGCAAAAAACTATAGAAATAATAAAAGAATACATTTTCATTTTAATCCCAGGCATGGGGATATGGAAATGCTTTAGACTGTCCAAAGAGACTGACTATGACTTGTCTCATGCTCTAGAAAAGGCATGGTTTTTGCCACCTGCAGATAGTTTCTGCAATTGTGTGGCATTTGGAATTCTGGGAACTTTTCAGAGAGTAGAAAAATGTTAGAGCTTTGATAGGCATGGCGGGTGGTTACTGGTTATTCAGAGGGATTAGCTCAGGTTTGTTAGTAGTCATCCTCAAAGAGGAAACAACAGGAAAGAGGTTAGATTCAGGGATCTCTATCTCTCTCCCCTCTCTTCTTTCTCTTCTATCTAATGATACAGGGTGATACCATGGCATAAAGGGTAGAAAAAAGGAAAGCCCACAAATTAGCAAAGACTAGCTTAATGTGTTGGTCTCTTAGAATGGTCTAGCAGGATAGTAAGTATGTGTTCCAATCATAGGATTGATGGTGTCTGGAGTTTGAGTATCTTGTCTGTTCAACCAGAGCAGGCAATATGTGGTCTGACACTGTTGTTTATCCAGATCTGTTTAATAGAACACCTGCAACAAATACTCATAATGTGCACATGTTCTGTGCTCAGGAGCCATCCTCCTTTGCATAGAAATCCCCAGAAGAAAACTCAATGGATTTTAAACAGTGCTCATTTGCTCATGCTCACTTGCTTTCTTCCTACTTTTTAACCCATAAACCTTAAGCTGCAGGTTAATGAGGACAAGTACCTTTCGGCAAAACAACTGCAGAATAAATTTCAGTTTTCATTTTGTGGAGGGGATGAGGTCCTTATGGTCAAAGGTAAGCAATAGGGAATCCTAAATACACAGAGTTTGTTTAACAACAACAACAACAACAACAACAACAAAAAGACATATAGCGTATTTCCCTCCCAGAAACCTGTAGCCTGGATGGACACCTGTGCTTTCTGCAGTGCCAGAACACACTTGAGTCTCCTGGGCTATTATGTTTATTCAGACTCTTCCTCCATAAACCCTTATCTTGAGCATTGTTTCTCAGTCAATAGAACCCAGTTTACAGGTGAGGTCACATGTACTTTACAATAGTCCAGGTGACCTCTGTGCTATCTGTAGATACAAGCTTGACCTGACTCACACAAACCTTAATTTATCCCAGTCATTCTCCCTAGACCCTTATCTTGAGCATTCTTGGTTAAACAGAACCCATCCTTTACAGAGGAGGTCATTTGGACTCTGAAGAATTTCATTGTATCATATCTTAAGCTTTGTTGAACACAAAGGTTTGAGTTAATTATCATCAGGAAACTCTTTTCCAAAATTGTCCTATGCCTAAAATAAACTACGTCAGATACTAGAAGTTTTAACCAGTACTGACTACTGAGTCGTGTTGGACTAGATTTTCTTCTTGCCTAACACTGATAATTACTCTGCTGGTAATGGTATTTGTAGAGACATATCACACACACACACACACACACACACACACACACACACTTTGTGTTTTATAATAAAGTGGAGATGTGGTCGGCCAAGGTGTCCTGCAAAACAATCAAGCCATGTGATAGGCTTCATATATAAAGAAGTTTATTTGGGACCTGGAGGAGGGGGTAGAGATGATAGAGACATAGAGTGGAGGAAAGAGAAGAACAGAGGAAGAGAGAGAGAGAGACTCATACCTGGCTGTTGCTAGGTTACTGTTGGCAGAGCCTCCAGGAAATGCTAATGATACACACACACACACACACACACACTCAATTTTCTTATATCTTGCATAATTATAACATATATATAATTAAAATTCATGTGGCTGCACATGGTTAGAATATATACTCTACATGAAAAATATGTCAGCTTTATGAAAGGTTTATGTACCATGACTTTGTCAATGAATGGAAACCTTAATAAAAAGGATATAAGCTCTGGTGCCAACTGACCTTTTGGTTGCTTCCCAGAGGAAATGGACATTTAGTTTGCTTCCCAGAGGAAATGGACATATAGAGTAGACAAAGATACAGATACCAGGAATGACCACATGAGAGAATACTGTAAGGCTATAATTACTTCTGACTTGTTTTGTTTTAGGGGTATGTGTATATATGCTTTCTATTTTTCTCTTTACCTCTTAGCTTATAACCTATAATACATCTATTATATATCACAGCATTGAAGCACTTTTATTGGAGGTCATAGTACTTAGGTTATTGCATATCAAGTAGAGTAAAAATCACTGAAGGACGTTACACACTTGGAGCGAAGGGTCAGTGCATTTCCAGTTGTACTTGGATAGCTACTTTATCATCGTTCTAGTTGTCTTTCTGTTGCTGGGATTAAGTAACATGATGAAAGAATCTATGTATATCACATATTATTATCATAGCCCATTATTGATGGTAGACAAAGCAAAATTTTAAGCAGGAACCATCAAAGACAGTTGCCTATTGACTTGTTCCCCCCGCCCCCGCCCCGGCTTGCTCAGCTATCTTTCTTATATAGCACAGGCTTGCCTACCAATGGATGGTACCAAGCATAGTGGTTTAGGACCCCTGAATCAAATAGCAATTTATAAATGTTCCCTTAGAAAAGCTCACATGTCAACTTGACAAAAGCAGTTCCTCAATAGATGTTGCCTCTCCATGTGCAACTATTATGTCAAGTTGACAAAATCTTGCTGGCAAGATTAACCCCTTGTAAACTTGACACACAAATGGATCACTCTTCCAACTTATTTCCTCTCAAGATCTCATGTTAATATCACAATATAAAACACAG